AGGCTCGTGAAAGCCGACGTAATTCTCCAGGGGGCGAGCTTGCCGGAAACTGCGAATAGCAGTTGAGTTTTATAATTAAGAATGCGGTGTGCCGTCACATTTACTCGGGTTAGTCTGTTCTGGCTATCGTAGATGTCGTTGCTTGTCGTGGTGACTTTTATTAAACGAACAGGATGACCTGGTCGTTACATAACCTTCATCTGTTTGCGTAACGAAATACTCGTAATATCGATACAATCGATAATCTATTTTTATCGGTAATACGCAATTATAGAATACGATTTGATATTATTGTATAACTATTTTAATTAAACATTGCAATTAGGTCTATGTCATTATATATTTTTCCTTTACCAACGCAAAATAAATGAATATCTAGTTCCCAATATATTTTAAAAATATTAAATTTAAATTAAAAAATATTAAAATTCACCGAGGTAAAATTATTAATATACAGGGTGTCTCATATAAAAGTAACCACCTAAATTCGTATTAAAAGAAAAGAAATGTATTTTTACTTTAATTCTGTGAATCATCGATTCTTTTTATTTGCATTCGGTTTGCATAATTTTTTTGAATATATGGAATTTGATTTTGCTCACATTTTTTTTTCTTTTCTGATAAATATATGAACTGTATATTTTGCAATTCAATTCACGAATAAACTGTAATTTAGTATGAAAATTTTTTGTTGTACATTGGTCTTTTGATACCACATAAATTGTCATAATCATTACAAATAAGAGATATTTAAATGGGACACCTTGTATAAACAAATGCATCCCAAAAATATAAATACTTTCCTGATACACATCTATGAAGCTTGAAATATGTATACATGTATACATCCTGATCGTAAATTGATGAAAATTGAAACAATTCAATTGTGTTTTTATCATTTTCCAATATTTTCTTTATATAGTAAATTAATTACTAACGGATAAAAAATTTTTTTAAAAAAGATTCATGGTATTAAAATTTTTATATCGCGTGAATCACGGTTCGATACAATTTATTATACCTCACCGTTTGTCGTCTCTGTCCTTTAATATCCCCATTCGCAGAAAACGTGCTCAATTAACTGTTAATTCTCGAGTGACATGGCAGAAGTGCTTCGATAAAATCCTTCGATTTGTTTCAGCTGAAATTCTGTTTTAATTGTGTAAAGTGAGGAGAACAGTGAAGGAAATAAATCATAAAAAAGCCAAGGAAATATATCACGTTTAATCTCGTGCACTCTGATACCATATAATTCCACATTATTCGAAAATGTTCAAAATTATCAATATACTTTCCACGTTTACGAACATTTATTATAATCCTGGAAAACGTACAGTACTTCTTATTATTTTTACATAAACAGTTTAAGGTTATGTGGAAAATAAAAGAACTTTAAAATCACAGGTTAATTACCAAAATAATTTTGGTTAGAAATTTCCCCGAAGAAAAAGAAAAATATCAGTTTATTTGATATATTTTGTTGAAATACATAATCCAGATTGACTCTTATATCATCAGGTTAATAGCATTTTGAAAAGCAAAACTTTTCCAGTAGCATCCGTATATGGACCACATAGCAACTACTCCCTTATTTTTCCTAACATCATTATGAAATTTTTATTACACAGAAGTGATTCTACGTGAAAAACTGAGTCGAAAATGTAGTATAACATTTTTTCATATAAGGACCCGTTTCTGAGGAAAGTCACTTCAGACTACGTGTGGCGCACATGCACCTAAATATATCTTAACGCAGCAGATGTCGCTATAGACTTTAAGATTAATTTTCTCGTAAACGAGACCTCATATCGAAAAATTTTATTCTATATTTCTCGTTTGCTTTTTAATGTAGAATCACTACCATTTATATTAATTATAGATGACCTTTAAATATTCAACCATGGTTATTTTTTAAAATAGTAATTTAAATTTTCTTTAACTGTTGGTCGTATAAAACTGATAAGAATTTTGACAAAACTACGAGTATCAGGTACGTGTATTTAACATAACGTTAGAAAATTTACTATAGGTATGTCACTACATGTCCGTGACACACGCAGATGGCGCGCAAAACGAATTCTACGGCGCCACTTTACATGGATAAACGTTTAAATAAGTATAGTAGCAGGGGGATTTCCAAGTAAAAATAATAAATGGAGGAGAGCTTGAGTGTGCATAAACAGTAAAATTTCCTTTGTGTTAGCCTTTTACTCTCGGAATAAGATGCATAACAAAAGACGCAGTGCATCAAAGCTTGAACTGGTGCAAAGCAGTAAAATTACGCCAGAGTATTGAAACTTCTACAAAGTAAAGCATAATCGATCTTAAAAGCGCGAGATATCGATGTTCAGAAATTTCTAAGTTCGTTCCCTGAATTCTTGTCATTTATTATATCCATTTATTATCCAAACCTTTAAAATACTCGTCGATCTTCAGTTTGACCTTAAATATCGAAATTCTTAAAATTCGAAATGATAAATTGCTTTTTAATAGCACGAAATTCTTTATTTTGATGGGGGACACCGAAATTTCTAAATTCGAATGCAATACTTTCTATAATTCACAGGATTTCGAATTTTAGGTTAAGTTAAAATATAAAATTATAAATTTGAATTTATAAAACTGAATATGAAACAATCATACGTAAAACGGGAATTCTAATAACGATTATCTCTTTTCAAAATTTTCTGTAACCATTTCTTACAATTGTGAATTAATTCCTTATTATTGGGGGCTCTTTAACCATTAGTAAATTATTGAGTCATAATCATTTTAATATATTATTTCACAAGAAAGATTCAACGTCCAATCTAAGAAACGAGAAACATAACCTCAAAACCAAATTCCACCATGATAAAGAACCCTATATATAGAAATACTTCAAAAATAAATTTCTCAAAGTACCAAAAGCATTTTACTTATGATCCAAAACTGAAATCTGTCAAACAAATTAAAATCCCTTTATAATTACTCGCGTTGATGTCCCAATTACAGTCCCCGACAAAAATTTCGCCCGCGATTACTGGAACACGGTAACAGCGGATGGAAATACAGTTCCATTTAAACGGAACTATTTCAAAGCCTTTTTCCATTAGTTTTCGTTTGAAATACACGAGGCTATGCAGAAACAGGAGCAAAACGAACCGGCGAACGTAGAACGAAATACGCGAATGCGGCAAAACTGCGGGCTGGATTAAAACGAGCCGCAGGTGAACGCCGCGAGATGACGCGCCCTCTTCACTGGTCACGTTAACTGAATAGAAAATTATTCGTACTCTGTCGGACACATCAGCTGGTTCGCGGTGGCTATCGGAAACTTTCCAACGGAGTTTGTAATTCCCATCCGGGATTCTAATCGCGACCATGCGAAATGTTTAGAACCAACGGCTCGCTTTCCGTGGCGCAGACATTGTAGAGAGCGCTGTTTGCAATTTCAGTGAGGTTAGGGCGATATTGCAGAAGCATGCCGGCAATTTCCTCTCCCGTCTCTGAGACTTCGATGCATTAGAATTGCAACCTTTTTAAGCAAACGTGTATTTACTGTTAAATTCTACACCGAAATATAGACAGTGCATTCTTCATTTGAAAAGAATTTTCTATAATGTATTACGAGTCGAAAAGAATTTTCAATTTTGTTGATTCTGCTGGTATTTTAAGTATTTGAATATTTCATTAATCTAGAGTTTAAAAGTTTATAAATTTATAATTATATGTTTGAACATTATAACTGTCAAATAATATCAAAATGATTCATCAAATTTTTTGATTATAAATTTAATAATATATTTGTAATAAAAAAATATGTGCATATTAATGTATATCAATTTATAATAGAAATATTCTGGTTTAAATTCTACATGATTCATTTCCTACTTGTTACTAAATTTTAACGAGCTGAATAAAAATCAAGGCACTAGAAGTAATTACCTAGGTTAATTGCTTATTCTTGTAATTTGTAGTTTCATGGCGAATTAATTTAGAGTTGACGCTGGAATGAGATATTTAACCGAATAGAATATATTTCAAGTTTCATTTAATCGAATAAAATACTTCTTAAGTCGTATTTAATTTCAGAAAATATATTTTTAATTATGTACGAATTAAAATTTATTTAACTCTTTCCACTTCGTTTTCGTCAATTAAAGTTGTTTTGTTTCCTTTAAATTAATAATAATCATTTGTAATAATAGAAATATTTAATTCTGTTAATATAAATAATATCTCAAATGAAAATATATTTCTTGAATAACATTTGTATGGCGGATAAGTAAAGACTTATGGTTATTGATTAAAATTTTTTGTTTATAATATTTCATATAATATAGAAGAGTGTTCCAAATTTTTAAAATATCACTCTTGATAAAAAATTAAACCTAACTAATATTTACTAACCTATACAATCGTTTACTATCGTTCATTGTAACTTTTACCAAAGTGTTTCTAACCTAACCTAACTTTAAGTTCGAGAATATAATTCAAGTATACTATATATTTTGGTAACGTTCAAACCTGTTCACGTAAGTTTATATTCGAAGTTATATATAATACCGAACTTATCAAAAACTGTAATGCAACACTATAGTACTTAACCTGTAATAACCTTACTCTAGTTTCCAAACGATTATTAGAAATAACTATAAATATGGAGACAAGAATTGTGAATTATGAAATTACTCCTCCAATAATTTCGGACGTATTAATAAAATTAATTATATATCATCGTTATTTCATTCATTCCTAACAAAATTTTCGTCTCCAATCAGAATGCAGACAAAATTATTTGAATTTGTATGCTTGTAGCGCGCTTGTGGCGCCATATTCAGGCGTGTTTACATCGAATCACGTCAGATCGTTTCGCGCGGTCGATCAGTCACGTGCAACGAACGTTTCTCAAAACGAAACAATCGCACTTGCAATGGTACAGTGATAAATCGAGGCGTTCGATTTTTCGTGAAAAGAATTGGGTGAAAGGAAAATAATTGGATTTGCTTTTCACTCACCCTGGAACTCCTTCCTGGCCGCGCTGACAGAAGTTACGATATTGGCCACGTGTCCGAGCACCGTAGCGAACAGCAGCAGACCAAACAGCAGCTGAGCTATCACAAACAAATATTCGCCCTTGCTTCTCGGTCTGCAAACGAAACAGAAAACAGAAAAGCGTGTTTTGCTGATGAGATATACATATGCGAGTAGTGTTGAACTTCTTCAATGATTTTAAAATTGTAAAACTCGAGTTTGTGATTTCATATGAATAACCTGTATGAATATAACCTCAATATAAAATATTGAGATGGTATTTATCTATTAAACTTTTTATTGTCAAGTGCTAACCATTATTGTAGAAATATAATTTTATGCTCTACTCATAGTGCTGCGCAATGATTAATGTGATACTTGTATTATATGTAAAAGAATATCATTATACTAAGAAGTCTTTAAATTTTTATTTAAAATTATAAAGTTTTCTATATGAAACTGTAATATTTAAATAATAAAACTTACAGCAATATCTTTTCTTATTAATTTAGAAATATCAAGCTAGTCGTATTTTAATATAGTCAAAGTCCTGTATTTATTTCTTAATTGAATTTATGAAACTTCTTGCCATTTTATATATTACAACTAGTTAGCTACATACTTTGTATAATGTCAACAAAGTAACCTGACATTGCAGGTGACTTCCTAAGGTAGGTTACTATAAAAATTCCTGGCAGTATTCCTAGTTTCAGTCACTATACATTATAGGACATCATGTAACTTATCTCCATTCCTTGCAGTATGATCTCTCTAGAATTTTCCTGCATCCTAGGTATTATGTGTCTCTTAAATGCTAAATCTTTATTTATCAAACATTATGAGGAATTTAATTAACAGCAGTTACAAATATTAGGTAACCAAATAAATAACGCTGTTTTTACATTTCTATTCATATTTTGAAAAGCAGCATTACTTACTTGGTTATTTGATACTAATGCATTAATGTTTTTAAAAATCTTTTGTTATATTACATTGCATAACAATTTTTAAGATATTCTTTAAACTGCTCTTAAGTAATTACTGGCACCTTGGAACTTCATTTTCATACAATCTACGAATCAAATAAATTTATTATTACACAGATCAAGGTACTAAAAATTTATAAATATGGATACCATACTCAAGTAATTATTCTAAGGCAAATGTTCAATTAGTTACTACTTTCAACTCTATAACATTATGTGACTTATTGTTAGAAGTTCTGTATCTTTTAAACGCTTTTCACATAACAGTTTGAGAGAAATATTTTTCAAATTCTATCATGTCTATTATACAATCTTTCTATAGCAATTATCAGTGTCTAAATTTCTGTCTAAAGCACAAGACCATGAACAATTACAACTTTTCCCTTTTAAGCAAACAAAACTTAGGTTATAGGCTTTTAGAATCCATCAAAGCTTCCCATTTTCGCGCGAAACGAAGCGTGGAGAAGAACAATGCAACGAATTACGAAGAAGGAAATCGAATTACCTGGGGAGATCACCGATGGTGGTAAGGGCCAGCGTGCACCAGTAGTAGCTCTGCAAATATTGTTTCACAACGTCCGCAGTCTCCGAGTCGCTGAACACCCAGTTCTTACTACCGAAGCCGTTGTTCTTATAAATAATGTGATAGAGGCACCCGTTCCAGTGAAAGATCACCAGTAAATAATGTATCAAGGAGGTGGAGCGGAATAAATTCGGATAGTTGGTGTGTCGCTCGGTCCTGTCCATGAACGCCCAGAACCTGTGTGGAAATGAACCAAAGAAGATTGCATCAGATTCCAGCGCGGACGCCATGTTTTTTCCGCAATATCCGTTAAAATATGGCGATAAGCATTTTTTCGTCGCGGAATTTTTGCTTAACTAACCTAACTAACAAAATGGCTGTCTGATTCTTCGAGTATACTCATTCGATATTTTAAAATTAATTTAAAACAATTTTTTTTCCTTTTTACAACCAAATTTTCTGTCTCCTTTTTCTTTCTTTTTTCATTTTGGTACTTTTCAGAGGGAATGGAAGTGTCGAATATTTAGTTTCACTAGCGATAAATATTTTTTCTTTTCTTTTTACGTTCCTTCGAGTTCGTGTTATTTTAATTAATTAATTCATTCTTTTTGCTTTTGGTAAATGCACTATTTTTATAAAGTTCCTGGGATAGATACAATTTTACATATTTACATAGGTGTGAAATTTCATTTCATTCAAATGTGAATATCTTTTAAATGAATCAAAGGACGAATAATATGCTAAAATATGCTGCAAATTGTACATTTAAAAAATTTCTTGAATATCAAATGTTCCCTATATTCCTTTCTTCATTTCCATGCGTGTGAATATCTTTTAAATGAATCAAAGGACGAATAATATGCTAAAATATGCTGCAAATTGTACATATAAAAAATTTCTTGAATATCAAATGTTCCCTATATTCCTTTCTTCATTTCCATACGTTTCTCTCTTATTATGATTATGCCAATTTTGCAAAGAATAGTAGTTGAAACTCCAATAATCAACGCTGCATATAATATTTCGAATAGCTTGATAAATTTTCGCTTTGTCAGTTCGCAGGAATTTCCGAAAGTGTCATAATATTAAATTCGAAATTCATTCGGAGTAATTATTAATCCTTATTTTATCAAATACGAGAACATTTAAAAATCGTATTTCGATTCACCAGAAAAGTAATCAAGGAAATTTTTGGTCGTAACTGAAATTCTTTCGACAATTTGGTGAATTGCAAATCAAGATAAATTGTGCCAAAAATAATGATCAATTTCGACATTCTCTCTAAAATACGAATCTATCAGCTTGAACATATTTTTTTTCTTTTAACACATAATAGTGCACGAAAAATCGATAAATTTTTCCGGAATATCTGGGAAATCATTCTAGATAAAAGGAATTATGGAAACAACGGGGTAACTTTAGCTTCGCTATCGAAATATGAATTGAAATACTGATACGTCTAGTTATCCTCATATCATATTTCCGTTCCAATTGGAATGAGCTGTTTATCTTACTGGTTGTTGCGTGCCATTTGGCTGTCGATTTATGCGGTACAGACTACGATATAGCAGTCGTAAAATCGGCCAGCAGCCAATGTATCGACATTTCGTGTCTCTGGATAGAATTCTAAGAAATCTAGATACATATCTACGTGTAAGATTCTAAAATCCCGACCAGGATTAAAGGAAATTGCTAAAAGGAGCAGAAAGCTTCATGGAAGATAGAACAAACCAAGCGTATACGTATACCTAGAGGTGATACTCGAAGGCGATCGACGCGAGTTGGCGCTGCAGTGCAGGAACCCAACGCGCCAAATTTGAATTTAGGAAGAGAATCAAAAAATAATAAATATTCTGATAAACTTCGTCGTTTTGTTCGTGGAACGACACGAGTATTATGCAAATTAATTATGAAAACTCAAGAATTCTTACTAAAAATTTAGCAATTAAAGGATAAAATTTATTCTAAATTTAATATCTTAGAAAAGTTTGATAATTAAGCAATAATAACTGTTAGAAATTTAACGATAAAGAAAGATAATTATTAAATTAGAATAATTGGAAACACTATTTATATAATAACTAAGAAAATATTTCATAATTGTTAAAAAATTAATAATAAAAAAATGATAATTGCGAAAACTTAATAACTTAAAAATTATGATACTCTAATGTGCAGTAATTAACAAAATATGTATTACTTGTCGGAAATAAATAATTAAATTAATAAAAATCATTTGACTTACCGATATATTTTTACGAGCCTAAAACTTCGAAGTATACTGTTGAATCCTATAGATAAGTATAAAAAGTCGAGGGGCAGCAGGCACAGGATGTCCATGTAAAACGTAGTGCTGTTCGTGTAATGATTTCGCAGCTTCGTCGCGTCGGTTTGCAAGACACCGTCCTCTAAGTATCCGGTTCGAATGTGAAATACTATGTCCAGTACGTATAAAAAATCGGAGAAGTAGTCCAAGCAGAACCATACCCAGCGTGTTTCGCCTAAATAACATAAAATCACATTTTTATTAAAAACATGTATATATATTTTTATATACTTGTACTTATTTATTAATTAATATAGGTCTCCTATTATTTGTCCTTTGAAAAATTATAATTGAATTAAAATTTATATTTCTACAAGTAAAATCAAATTTTAATCATAATTCTCTGCACAACTGTAAATTATAAATAATATTTCATGAAAAATGACAAGTAAGAGTTGCAAATATAATTTAAAAAGTAATTTTATATACGCTCCCCACTTTTAATTTCATGAACCCAGTGTTTTGCACAAAAAACGTTGTACCGAGGTAAAAATTTATTTGCAAATAACGCTCCACTAAATAATATATTAACCAGAGACGAATTACATCTACACGTCACCAGAATTCAAATAAATGAAATAAAAATTTCAATTCTAAATACTTATTTATAATCATGGAATTAATTGCAAATTATTGGAAAGAACAAAAATTTATTAATTATTATAATTCGCTTATGATAATTATTTCTATAACTGATTATGGGTACCCCTATAATTCTTATAACTTATAATTATTAAGATTCGCGATCAAACCAAAATTATTGTAATACTTGAATTTACAGATGTCCGGAAAGAAGCAATAATTAATAACATGCTAATTAATCTATCATTGAATAATATATTAACCAAAGACGAATTACATCTAGACGTCACCATAATTCAAATAAATGAATTAAAAATTTAAAATACTTATTTATAATCACAGAATTAATTGCAAACCATTGGAAAGAACAAAAATTTATTAATTATTATAATTCGCTTATGATAATTATTTCTATGACTGGTTATGGTTATCCCTATAATTCCTGTAACTTATAATTATTAAGATTCGTCATTAAACAAAAATTATTATAATTATTGTTATTAATTATTATAATCTACTGATAATAATTACTTCTATGACTAATTCTGAGTATCCCAATAATTCCTGCAATTTATAATTATTAAGATTCGCCATTAAACAAAAATTATTATAATTATTGTTATTAATTATTATAATCTACTAATAATAATTACTTCTATGACTAATTCTGAGTATCCCAATAATTCCTGCAATTTATAATTATTAAGATTCGCCATTAAACAAAAATTATTATAATACTTGTTATTATAATTATTATGTTATTAATTATTATAATCCCATTATGATAATTACTTCTATGATTAATTCTGGGTATTCCTATAATTCCTATAACTTGTAATTATTAAGATTCGCGATCAAGCAAAAATTATTATAATACTCGAATTAACAGATATCCGGAAGGGAGCAATAATTAATGACATGCTAATTAATCTATCATTTGCATGGGAAGAAGATATCTCTTCTCGAGAACAAACGATTCGATCAGCTAGTGGGGATGTAATCGAGTCGCAGGAAAAAAAGACTAACCGTTTATCTCTTGGAAGGCGAACCTGTAGATGATGACCCAGAAGTTGTAGAGAAAGGCGAGCGAGACCACCATCGACCAATAGTAACACAGACGTCCCGCGGGATCGAAGATGAAGGACCAATTAGGGGCGCCCTTTGTTCCCTTTGTTCCTGGTTGCCCAGAGTAGCCTCTGCTACCACGTTGCTGCTGTTGCTGTTGCACCGTGTATCTCCTGTAGAAAAACGACATAACGACTTATAGAAAGCTACAGGAATATCGTATAACGAATGTGCTTGTTACTCGTTGTCAAATTTTTTATTTCCTATTTTTTTTTTTTTTTTTTTTTTTTTTTTTTTTTTTTTTTTTTTTT